AAGTTGGGCTCTGCCCTCCTCCCTACTCGCATTCTCTCTAAATAAATAAATAAATAAATAAAATCTTTTTTTTTAAATTCATACTTGGCATAAGCACGTGCTCAGTAAATATTTGTTGAATAGATTATTGGATTATTGATTTAAAAAGAAACCCAGTTGTGGACGGATGTGCATGGTATTATCGCAATTATGAAAGTCAGTCTCTAAACTTAGACATACGATGCCATGATTTCTGTGATGCCCCGTTCTGCCCCGGCAGTAGGAGACAAATCGAACTTCAGTCCCCCTGGGTGTGGGCCACAATTCCAGGATATTCAGCAGAGCCAAATTTGCTTGGGATTGGGGGCGGAGGTGGGGGGGCTAAAAGAGGGACAGGTTGGACAGTATCCAGCACTCAGGCAACAGTGATCCCTGCTGATATATGGTCATCTTGATTCAGTGGCCTCTTCGGTCCTGGTACTGTGTCTGCTTTGGGCTTGGGACCAGGGAAAATGTTGCAAGCTGCCTATGGTCCTGCCAGCCTAGTAGACCCCTGAGCTGTTTCCTCTCTGGGGAGCCTGCCGAGAACCAGGTGGCAGACGCCCCTCCCATTCTGGGCCAAGCTCTAGTCTCTCTGGAGGAATTCCCTTCCCCTAAGGGCCTCACCTCTTGAAACACACAAACCAGCTTTTCTACTCTTGGGTCAGCCATATGCATCCCCAGGGGCAACGAGCACAGAAAAGTAGGGAAACGTAGGAAGGAACCAACTAGATTAACCTAGAAATACATTACATGTTTGCTGACCACCATGTGGGGAAGTGACTAGAAGGGCCAAAATGGACAAGTCCACTGAGGAGTTGGCCACCACAGGGAGGGACAGGGTCATGGATTTGGACAGGAGAGAATGGATATCAGAGTTATTTGGAAGGTAAAAATCAGTAGCAACTAGGTGAGGGATTGGGTGGGGGCGGGGGAGGTAAGGGAGACCCATCTAGAAGGATCCCCAAGATTCTGCCTTGAGAGAGGGGATGGCTCTGCCATTGCACATGGTGTTCCCACTTCTGGAACGCCCTCCTCCACTGTAAGCCCTTCGCTTGCCCCCACTCCCACTCATCTTTTTGACCTCCATTCAAGCATCACTTCTGCGTAGCCACCCTACCTGACCCCCGGGCCAGCTGGATTCCCCCTTTCTCCGTCCACCTTCCTTTGCATGTTTACTGGGTGTGCGATTACACATCCATTAGTATCCTCCCCACCAGACTGTCAGGTCTGTGAGTGGATCTGGGCTCATCCTTGCATGCCCAGTGCCTAGCACGTAGTAGGTGCTCAATAAATAAAGGCTCCAAAATGCAGGCAGGGGAGGCTGGAGTGTATTCTGCAGGCTGGTGGTTCTTTTCCCGGGGACTGGAGCTGGCTGGGTTTCAAAATACATAGACCCCCTCCGCCACCTCGACTCCTCACCCCCCCACTTTAAGATCTGTGCTTGTGAGGAGGCTGTGAGTGGGGGTACAGTCTTTTTTTATAGCCCCGAGAGATATTCATTGGTTTTACTGTAGGTTTTTTTTTCTTAAGATTTTATTTATTTATTTGAGAGAGAGCAAGAGAGAGAGAGCATGAGCGGGAGGGAATGTTCTGGAAGTGCTCGGGGAGTCTGGGGGAGGCACGGGGATTACCATGCCCCTGTGGGAAAGGCTGCAGTGGGGATTAAACAATATAATGCATATAAAAGTCCCAGCAGCTTAAAAAAATACAGGATCCAAATCTGAGAAGACTGAGTGGCCAGGACAGGAGGAGTCTGGGCAGGGAATCACCTAGCGGCCCCCCCTTCAGGAAACTTCCAGGGGTCTCCTGGGAGCCCCGCCCCAGCACGACTGACACCCTGGCCCCACCCGGCCAGCAGGCAGGAATTTGCCCTGCTGACCTCCCCTGGCACACTCCTGTCACCATGGCGACCAACCTGGAAACAAGTGGCCCGATTGTCCCTGCTCAGCGGGGCAGGTGAAACCCTGGCCACGTGATCGATACTGAGCCAGGTGCACTGATGGGCCACCCGCCGCCTCCCTGCCTTAACCCCTTCATGCTCCCACCCCCACGGCGCAGTGTCCCTGCTGCCGAGGGTCACACCCCTTCGGGGCCCCGGGTTCCCAGACAGAAGGGCGGTGATTACCGGGAGCACTGCACTAGGAGTCAACATTCCCAGGAAGGAATTTGGGTGGGGCCACGCACGTGCCGAGTGACTGGAGCTGGGTTATTCCCCTCCCGAGTCTCCATTTTCTCAGCTGTAAAATGAGGATGACAATACCCTCCCACTTCACCGGGACTTGGGGACTGCTGGGAACAGGGATGCTGGGAACAGACTCCCAGTGCGGTCTCATTCTGCACTCCTTTGCTCCCCCCGACATGACCTCAGCATATCAGGGGCTCCAGAAGGCCTCCCCGCCAATGGCTGGATAACCCCCCAGGAGAGAGACCCTCACCAACCAACCAGTTAGAAGTTGGCCAGTTCCTAACAAGCTGGAGAAGGGTGGGCAGCCCCCAGGTTGACCCATCCCCAACACACCATCACCAGAGTCCTTCCCACGTGGCAACAACCCTTCTTGTGGTCCCATGGCCCCACCGCTTGCTCCGGAGTGCTCAAGTGGAAACCTCAAGCCAGCTGGTTTTTCCGCTTGCTCCCAGGCCCTAACCAGCCACGTGATGGGGCTTTGGCCCAGGTCTCAGGAATGTCTCCAGACTGCTTCTGCCACAGACCCAGGGCTCTGAGCACATAGCCCAGGGTCGTGGGCCAGGCTCAGGTTCCCTGGCTAGACAGTAGGCTGGGGCGGAGGTGGGGGGGGTGGTTTGAAACCACGTTTGAAATACTACCCTTCTGAATCACCAACATTATGTCAACCCCCTGCCCCTTCATCCAACAATTCTAAAAAACACCCTGCTTGATGTCTCCTCCAAGGACCCCTCCCATGCCTTGGACCAGCCCCCATCCAGGGCTCAAATGTCCTCATCACTCTCCCAATGACTATGCTGGCAACAAATCATCACACCACCTGGTGTGCTTAGCGTCCCCAGTGACCTCAAAGCCCTTCTCGCATTAGAACAAAACAACTGCCAGTCCCCAGACTGACTCAAGGTGGGAGCCATTTTGGGTGCCTGGGTGGCTCAGTTGGTTAAGCGACTGCCTTCGGCTCGGATCATGATCCTGGAGTCCCAGGACCGATTCCCGCATCAGGCTCCCTGCTCAGCGGGGAGTCTGTTTCTCCCTCTGACCCTCCTCCCTCTCATGCTCTCTGTCTCTCATTCTCTCTCTCGCAAATAAATAAAATCTTAAAAAAAAAAAAAATCAAGGTGGGAGCCAATTTAGTGGGCAAGGTATTTATCACACCTTTGGAGCTCAGATGCATCCTACTGGTCTTGACTCCATCAGGCCTGCCCTGAAGGGGGAGAGGCCTGGCTGGTCCAGATGTCATCTCCTGGAAGGGGAACTGACACAGCCACTAGGTGAACCTTCACCTAAGCCTCAGCTAGTGCCCTGAATCTCTTCACAATCATTCAGTAAAATGATTACTATTGCACTTTGCACTGGGTAAATAAAACATGTCTCCAGTCCGCCAGGAGCTCCCAGACTATGGTGGACACAGAGAAAGCCAGCTCTATTGATACTAGACAGTAGGCTCCTGACAAATGCTTTGAGAACATGGGGTAGAAGAGATTAGTTTCAACTGGGGAAATCCGGGAAGGCTTTTGAGGAGGTTGCAGCTCTCCTGGACCTTTAAAGTTGTACAGGAGTTGGGCCACGGGCTATCTGGAAGGCGCCAGCAGAGGGAGTCCTGGGGGTAAAAACCAAAAGGGAGGTGTGCAAAGGTAGTTCTCTGGTTCTCTGGTTGGGGAGTAAGAGAAGAGACAGCATGAGTGGAAAAGCAGGTAAGATGGGGGGGCGGGTACCGACCACGGAGGCAACTCCCCCCTTTAGAGATGGGGAATCCCTTAAGGTCTCTGAGCTGAATGCTGTAAAAGGAGCAGCTACTCTTGTAACTGCTGAAGGATGCACTGTAGTGGAAGTCGGCTGAGACCTGAGAGGATGCCACCGCCACCACTAACCCAGACTGGGGACAGAAACTGGCAGCCGGTCAGGCTTCCAGACAGAGGCTATTTCTCAGCAGGATGTGCTGAGTTCTGAGGGTGGGAGGATCCTTTATTTCTCTGCTGGTAAAGAGGAGTGAGCACATCTGATCCATTTCAGCTCAAAGCAGCAAATACCTTCCCGTACAAACATCCGGCCTCCCATCTTGACTCGAATCAAGAACGGCAACCAAAAAAAAAAAAAAAAAAAGTCAGACCGGACAGCGATTCTGGTTCTGCTTCTTGTACGAGCCATTTGCCTCAGTTTCCCCATCTGTAAAGGGCGGGCGTGGAGGGTGGTTGGAGATGAGCTCTTTAGAGTCGAGGACTTCAGGACGGGTAAGAGGGGCACCACCCGGCCTGCCTGGGCCCCCGGCTGTGGAGCACGGCGCCTCCAAGCTGGCGCCCCGACGACGGGAGCCACTCCCGGCGCCTCTCCGCGCCCGCCCGCGGCACTGAAAGTATGGCACCCACCCAAGGCGGTGCGTGAGGGCAGAGGAGCAGGCCAGGTGCAGGGCGGGCGCTGGTCAAGGCAGGGCCTCCTCGGCTTGCCAAGGACCTGTCCCGCGGCCAAAGCTTGCGCCTCAAATCCAGGACGGTCCGAGCCGCGAGGACTCCCACGCCACAAGACCCTGACTCTCCATGAGGATTCGACGCCGGAAGAGGCTGGGCGGAGCTTCGTGAGGGGCGTAACCAGGGACATTCGGCGGCTCCGCCTGGGGCGTGGCCAGGGGTGGCTCGCCAGCCTCACGGCGCGGAGGCTGAGGGGATTACGTAATGACGCAAGGGGCGGAACTGGGGGAACAGATTGTACTCTGGGATTACGTAAGGAAACGAAGGCGAGGGCGGGGAATTCCGCGCTAGTGGGCGGGGCAGAGGGCGGAGCTGCAATCGGAACGGGGCGGGGTCCTGAGAGAAGACGGGGGGCGGAGCGAGGGGACAGGAAGTGGTGCGCTCCGGGTAGCTGCTCCCGGGCATGCTCCGCTGGACCCGCGCCTGGAGTCTCCCCCTTAGGGGGCTCGGCCCCTGCTGTCTCAGCTCCTCCAGGGTGCCCGTCGCACCCAGCAGCAGTGGCCGAAGCGGCGTCGAGCCGAGGTCAGTCAAGGGCGCCATGTGGGAGGCCGTCCATCGCTCCTCCCCGTTCAGTCGGGCCGCGATGGCCCCGCCTCCTCCGCTTGCGCCCGCCCCCGCCCCCGCCCAGGCCCCTCCCCTAAACCCCTTCCCCAGCAGCCTTAGACCCCTCCTCCATCCTTGCGCCTGCCTCCAGGTCGGTACTGCTTTCCTACAAGCTTCTGGACGGAGAGGCGACCCGCCCGGCCCTAGTGTTCCTGCACGGGCTCTTCGGCTCCAAAACCAACTTCAACTCCATCGCCAAGGCCCTGGCCCATCAGACTGGCCGAAGGGTGAGCTTCCGGGAGAGGCGGGGTCCGGCGGGAGGTGGGGCCTGGCTGGGCGGGACTAGGAGGAGGCCGAGGCGGGGCCCGCTTTGTCGGCCCTCACGACGAGACACCTGCCGGGGAGTGGCCGGTCTCTCTAAGCGGAAATGAGGAAGAGGTTGACCCTCTAAGGATGGAGGCCACATGGCATACCGTGGCCCTAGGTGGACCCCACTCATTCTCTCGTGCTTGCATCCATCCAGTCCTTCATTCGTGTTACAGATGCCCATGTGCGTGCTCCACACTGAGCTTAGGCTCGGCTGTCCAAGGCCTAAGCGCCAACACCCTCCCCGTTAAGGGGGCCAGCCCCTGTTCGTTCAGGGATGACAGGGGGCTGATCACCTTTTATAGTAGCCCATCCTCCTGTGCTCCAGCTCTTGGAAAGTCTTGGCACCTGCTTTCTCTGGGTGGTCACCAAACCTTTAGAGAGAGTGTCACGCTCTTTGGGCCGTCTCTTCTCTGGCAGAGGGGCCCCATGTTCCTCATCTGGCCTCCTAGGTCTGAGAACTGGGCCCTGTCACCATCGGGGCCCTTTTTCCACTTCAGGATCTTTCCCCAGGCTCTCTACCCCCCCTCAGCCTGCAGGAATGCCCTGCCTTAGGCTGTCTATGCCCTGAATGTGGATGCCAGCTCTGCCGGCCCTCTCCACTCTGCAGGTGCTTACGGTGGATGCTCGGAACCATGGTGACAGCCCCCACAGCCCAGACATGAGCTACGAGGCCATGAGCCAGGACCTGCAGGACCTCCTGCCCCAGCTGGGCCTTGTGCCCTGCGTCCTCATTGGCCACAGCATGGGAGGCAAGACAGCCATGCTGCTAGCGCTCCAGAGGGTGAGCCTTCCCTATACGGGGCTTCCTCCCATCCAGTGTGGACCCTGAGTACCCAGCAGTCGACCTGGGACTCGGTCAGGTCTTGGATGGCCAAATTCAGGATCTGGGAACTCTGCCTGAGACCCAGGATGCCTGCCGTAAGGCCGGTCCCAAGCCTGGTTCTCTCACACAGCCAGAGCTGGTAGAACGCCTAATTGCTGTGGACATCAGCCCAGTGGAGACCACACCGAGCTCCAGCTTCCCATCCTACATGGCGGCCATGAGGGCTGTAGACATCCCAGATGAGGTGCCCCGCTCCTCTGCCCGAAAACTGGCCGACGAGCAGCTCAGCACTGTTATCCAAGTAACGCACCCATGCGCGGATGGCGTTGTGGGCCGGGACCTGTCAGGGGAAGAGTGGCAGCCCCAGACCTCACACGGAGGCTTCCCTCCCCCAATTCTGGACCCCCCCACAGGACATGGCCGAGCGTCAGTTCTTGCTCACTAACCTGGTGGAGGTGGATGGGCGCTTCGTGTGGAGGGTGAACTTGGAAGCATTGGCCCAGCACGTGGACAAGATCTTGGCTTTCCCACCACGACCAGAATCTTACCCTGGGCCAACCCTCTTCCTCCTGGGTGGAAACTCTCAATATGTGCGGTAAGCCAGTTTTACTTTTGGTGGTGGGAGGGGCCCCAGCCTGGGGATCCCACCTTGGGGAGGGCTTGGGTGTGGGAGGGTTTTGCCTGAGGATTCAGAAACACCACGGGGCATGTGGGCTCGTGTAGCTCTCTTCTCCCTGCTCTGCTTCCACTTCTCTCTCTCCCCATCCTCCCATTCTGACCCCTTTTGCGCGGTCTTCTCTTCGACGGACAGCCCCAGCCACCACGCGGAGATTAGGCGGCTCTTCCCTCAAGCCCAGATGCAGACCGTGCCCAATGCTGGCCACTGGATCCACGCTGACTGCCCCCAGGACTTTGTGGCTGCCATCCGAGGCTTCCTGGCCTAAGAGTTGCTGGCAAGAGGGGGCAGGAAACCCCAGGCTTCCAGGCCCTGTGGCCCGCTCCATGTTTCTGCACAAAAGGACTCAGGTGGGCACTGAGAGAGCATGAGGGTGCGGAGATGGTCAGACCTCAAGCTTTAATGAATAAAGACACTGCTCCCAAGGTCCTGGGCTGAGCTCTGTCACCACCAGCGTCCCCACCGACCCAGGGGGAATCGGACCCAGGGGGCCCTGGGAGTTCGGGGGTCCACAGGGGCTCCCAGAGAGCCCCTGGCCTCTCTCTGCAGTTGCCTCTCGACCCGCTGCCTCACCAGCTGCTGCATGTCCTCCTGGGGGCAGGAGAGCAGGTTCAGGGCCAACCCTGTGCCCTTCTCCTTCTCCCCATGCCTCCCCAGCCCAGCTGGCATTCCCACGCTACCTCCCAGGCCTCCACCTCCTGCCTCAGCCTCAGTTTCTCCTCCAGGACCTCCAGTAGCTGGGCCTCCACAGCGCGCAATTTGGCTTTGCATGTGTCCAGCTCGGCCTCCAGTGCGTGCTTCCTGCATGTGGCGGGGAGAGCAGCTTGGACCCCGCACATCTGCTGTGTGGCCACAGCCCCCGCCGTGTGACAGGGTGAGAGCTTATGTGGCTTTCCCTGCAGGAATACTTGACTTCTCACCTCCTCTCCTCTAGCAGGACAGAGCCCTGAGGGTGAGCCACCCACTGCCCTCCCAGCCCCCATCAGCATCTGCCTCTCACTTGGCAATGGCTTCATCCCGCTCCTGGAGGACTTGATCCAGCGAGGGCTCTGTCTGGGCATCCCCCAGTGCTCCAGCCACTTGGGATTCTGGGCTCTGTTGTAGGGTGACAGAGAAGGGAGCAGGGATTAGAGCTTGTCTAGATGAGGTGTCCCCCTTCTGGGCCCTTCTGCCCTTCCCTTGGCTCTGATGCTAGTGTCAGCAGGGGAGGGGTCTGGAAAGTTCTGTTCCTGCCCCCCAGTACCCATCTCCTGGACCTCTGAAAGTAGAGCAGGGGGACTGTGCCATGCTGAGGGGTTGGCAGGTGTGGCCTCTGCCTGGGACAAGGGTAAACAGAGGGGACAGGGCGTGTGGACCCTCAAGGAGGAAAGAAGTTGTCACCTAAGCCACAGGAAAGAGACAAGGTGGGTTTCAGAAGGACACTTACCCCTCTAGGGCCCCGGACAGAGAGAGTGGCCTGGTGACTGGGACTCTTGTCAGTGGGGTGGGGCAGGCAGACAACATGGCCCTTTGCCCTCCCTTCCGGACTAGGCACTCCCTGTCAGGCTCCGCCCCTGACTGGCTGGCCAGGCCCCTGCCTCCCCTCCTGGATCCTGGAACCCTCCTGCCCTGCCCAGAGCTTCCTCAGCCCCATTCCTGCACCGTCACACCTGTCCCTCACCCCAAGGGGGCGCTCTACCCATGTCAGGAGATGAGAAGGGAGGGACAGAGCCAGGACCATCTTCAGTGCGGGACAGGTCGTCTAGGTAGCCCACGCCTCCCCCCCACCCCCACCCCCCAGTGCATTCATTGAGCACACCAGTGACATCAAAGGTATGAAAGAGAATTTTCCCCATTGAGAAGCCTCTTCGGCAAGGTCATGTCTAGGGGATTAGATCCTCAACTCCACCCTAAACCGTAAATATTTTTCCCAGGAAACCCTGGCAGACACACCTCCTGGTTGCCCGTGGGTGCCACTGAGGCATGGGTATCTCCAAGAGCCAGACCAACAATTTGGTTGAGCTCCAGGTGAAGAGGTGGGGTTGAACCGTACCCCCAAATACATACACCCTTTTGTTGAGGAGATTGATTGTGTTTTGAGAGGCTGATCTGTGCCATGATCCTGACAGGGCCCAGGGACCTGGTCTCAGGGACCTCCGAGGCCAGCAGGGATGAAACGTAGATCTAATCAGAAAAGAGTGGCAGGGGGTCCAGGAACAGTGGGGGCACGAAGGAGGTCACAGGAGGTCACACCCTGTCCGTCACAGGAAGTTCCCTAGGACCGTGTCCAAAATGAACCCTGCAGGCCAGCAGGAGTCAGTCAGGAGAAAGGCATTTCTTTTAACTTTTTATTTCGAAACAATTTCAAAACTGCTCTTCAGTGTCCAAAAAAATATTCTTTTAGGGTAAAAAAAAAAATCGAATATGGTATCAAACATTGTACCCAGTTGTCACATCTCTCTGGTCCCCCTCGGTCTGGAACAATTTGCAGCCTTTTTTTGAATTTTGTGGTCTTGACATTTTGAAGATTACAGGGAAGTTATTTTGTAGACCATCCTCCAATTTGGGCTTGTCCACGCCTTCCTTTGTGATTAGACCACTGTTACCCATTTTGGGCAGAGACATCACAGAAAGGATGCTGTGTTCTCCTATCTGGTATCGTTTGGAACCATGACTGGTGGGATCAATGCTGATCACTTGACCACGATTAATGAGCACCAGGGAAGGGAGGTATTTTGAGACTATGACACATCCTTTCCTTTACCCCACTTTCACCCACAGGGTTCAGCATCCATCGATGTTTCTTGCCCAGATTAATTATTACTACAATGATTCGCAAATGGGGGCACCTGGGTGGCTCAGTCGGTTAAGCATCTGACTCTTGATTTCAGCTCAGTTCACGATCTCAGGGTCCTGGGATCGAGCTCCGTGTTGGGCTTGGGCTGAGTACAGAGCCTGCTTAAGATTCTCTCTCTCCCGGGTGCCAGGGTCGCTCAGTCGGTTAAGCGTCTGCCTTCGGCCCAGGTCATGATCCCAGAGTCCTGGGATCAAATCCCACGTCGGGCTCCCTGTTAAGCAGGAAGCCTGCTTCTCCCTCTGCCCTTCCCCCTGCTCATGATCTCTCTTTCTCTCTCTCTCAAATAAATAAAATCTTAAAAAAAAAAAAATTCTCTCTCTCCCTCTCCCCCTCCTCCCCCACCCCATTCTCGCTCATTCACTCTCAAAAAACTAAATAAAATAAAAATCCTGTAAAATAAAAAGACTGTGTGTTAGGCATGTTATTGCAATTAGATTAACATACACATTTATATTATGTTTATTTCTTTATCTGTGTGATCATTAAATTTGTGTCAATTGGGCCATGGGATGCTCAGCTATCTGGTTAAACATTATTTCTCAGTATGTCTATGAGGGTGTTTTTGGAAGAGGTTAGGGTTTGTTGGTGCACAGAGTAAAGCAGATAGCGCTCCCCAATGTGGGTGGGCATCATCCAATTCGTGGAGGGCTTGAATAAAACAAAAGGCAGAAGAAAGGTTGAATCCTCTCTCTCTTCCTGACTGCCCGGGCTGGGATATGGGTCTTCTGTCCTACTCACACCATTGGTGATCCTAGGTCTCAGGCCTTCAGATGGACTGGGACTACACCAGCTTTCTGACCCTCCAGCTTGCAGACAGGAGATCATGGGGCTGCTCAGCCTCTGTAATCACCCGAGTCAATTCTTCATAATCAACCTCTTTCCCAAGGGGGTGCCTGGGTGGCTTAGTTGGTTAAGCCACCTCTCTTGCTTTTGGCTCAGGTCCTGATCTCATGGGTTGTGGGATTGAGCCCCACGTTGTCAGGCTCTGTGCTCAGCGGGGTATTGGCTTGAAAGACTCTCCCTCTGCCCTTCCCCCTCCCCTCCTCCCCCCACACTTCATGCTCTCTCTCTCAAAATAAATCTTGAGAAAAAATAAAAACCTCTTTCCCAGTGTTCATCCTAGTGGTTCTGGTTCTCCAGAGAACCCTAACTAATAGAATTTACATATATTAAGAAAAAGTTCACTATTAGACCTGAATCCCATCCACCAGCACAGGCTCATCCTAGCTTTTCCCCATTCCATATTTTACCCCCTTTCTCCAATTGTCTTCAGTGCATTTCATAGTTAGTTCAGTCTTCCTGTGTGTAGCTAACCCCCTAAAACAATGGGGCTCCCCCTGACGCGGATGCCCTTATGGGGACTCGGCTCCTGCGGGGACTGTCTCCCCGCACCCTCAACTCCAATACCATCCTCATGCATGGCCCTGGCTGCCACTGGGCTGGTCTAAGAGCTTTACAGTCATTAAGTGATTCATTCATTCCACAAATATTTACTGAGCACCTACTATGTTCTAGGCATGTTTCCAGGTGGTGGACATAAAACAGCAAGACAAAATTCCCTGACCTCACTGAGCTCACATTCTAGTGAAAGCAGATAGACCATAAACAAAGGAGTGAGTATACCAGGTGGTAAGAAGTGCTGTGGAGAAAAAGAAAGCGGGGAAAGACAAGGAGGAGGACCGGGAGATTGCTATTTTGTATTATTCTGCACTACCTTACAGAGATCACAAATGTTAACCTACCACTTAGATGAAAAACAACCACTCTCTCACGACTTGGAATAACGTTTTCAGCGACCGCATCATTCATGCATTCAACAAGTTCTGTAATTCCCAGCACAAGTGAAGATGATGTGTTCGAGAAAACCGTGTTAGGGAACTCAAAGGAGATGCTCTGGGTGACACGCGACATGACAAAGAAAGGCAGGGATGCAAGTGAAGGGTTTGAATGAATATTCACAAACCCCGAGAATAGAAAATAATTGTTTTGAAATAAACTTACTCTTTTTTTTTTAAAGATTTTTTTAAATTTTATTTATTTGAGAGAGAGAGAATGAGAGAGAGAGCATATGAGAGGGGGGAGGGTCAGAGGGAGAAGCAGACTCCCCGCCGAGCAGGGAG